CCAACCTAATAGTTGGTGACTATATAAACGTAAAGATGTTTTCAAATAACTGGATCTCTATCTATAAAAGGCAGGATGTGTGTGTGTGTGTGTGTGTGTGTGTGTGTGTGTGTGTGTGTGTGTAACGAATGCACGGCCGCAATTTTCGACGGGTTTGCACCAAAACTTACATGCACATGCTCCAAGTTAGTGGGAAGGCCAAGACCGACTTTGCATTTCCCAACTCCCATCGATAGTGGAAATAATCGATTTTTTCATGCTTCTACGGCACTTTTCATGTAGTTTGCGGCCATTTTCTACTGGCCAGAGTGAAAGCCTATTGCTGGCTGCCACGAATAGGCAGGAAGATTCTATTGGCCAGCGTGAGAGCCAACAGCTGACCGACACGAATGTTAACTAGCATGCAAAAAAAATCGATAGCTGCATTCGTCACAAGTGGGAAAAATTTAAATCTGCATGGCATTTTACTCCAATTGGCTCATTCGCTTGCTTAAACTCAACGTTGATTCTGATTCCGCAGAACTGGGTTGGGTGTGAAAATGTATTTGTTGTTAACATTCTTTTTTCATTCGGTTTTTCCAGTTACGAATCCTTTTTTAAAACTGATCGTTTGGTGTTCATTTTGTTTAGTTCTTTTTTCGTAACAGATTTAATGTTTAGTATAAATTTCACAGTGTGAGATAGGCAAGAAGTAAGGCATGTAGCAACATCAGCACGACAAAGAGCACTCCTTTAAAGGCAAGGAAGGGCAAAAATATTTTAAGTCAAGTGATACTTAACTCTATGAGTCGTACGATTTTTGAATCAAGCACGAGCAACGCTGGGCCATGCTGCTAGTACTATATAAACGTAAAGAGGCTTTAAAATACCTGTTGTCGATATAAACATAAAGATGTCTTAAATTAGCTGGTAACTATATAAACGTAAAGATGCTTTAACATTCGTACGGGCATGATACAAACAGGGTATTACATTTGGGAATGGATTCACTGTAAGAATTGCTGGAATAGTTGTCAGTGTTGACCACCAAACGCCTTGGGGACACCACACCGACAAAGTAGCGGTGGTTTAAAATTTGTGTTTTTCTTCTCCTAGATGGACTGCCTACCTCGGCAGTCTAACAAAAGCAGCTGGTTATACTGCGTAAATCTTTCACCTTTGCCCAATCTCCGCCTTGGAGTAGGACTTAGTTGTCATAGGCCATTTAAGACACGTGCCGCAGAAGCATTTCATCGATAGTGGAGTTTTTCCAAACTATCTTTTTAGTGAGAGAATACACTTACTACGCCGGGCAAAGCGGACATGTACCTATTTGGCGTGTAAATCCAACATGGCCGACGTTGCGAGGAAGCGATGATGTCACGCGTGGTGGCGAGGAGCGGCCATTTGTAATCGTCCCACTACGCATGTGTGACGCTAATATTTTTGAATACGATTGGAGCGTTTTAGAGAGTGTGCCTGTTGGACGGTGTGGTTGATTTCTAGAGGTTTTATGGGCATTGGGATTTTTGATAATGGACCTATATTTTCTTTATGTATTTTACGATTTGTTTGTTTTGTTTTAAAATTAATCCATCATAATAACTTTATAAGAATCACTCCCGACTACGACAACCTTTGAAATATAATGCACGTATATAAACATTTATATACAGTCCCCGCTAAAAGTATTCAATCCTTTTGTTTGTGTTGTTCACTGGGAATATTTAGGTCTAAGATCAAAAAATGAATATGAGACAAGAGTTCAGAATTGACAGCAGAAATATAGAATAATTAAACCTGAATGTCTTCAGTGAACAACAAAAACAAAGGAATTAACCTTGTCTTTCTAATAATTTCGGAGGGGAATTTATATTACGTGTTTTAGGAGCTAAATAAAATAACAGACTTTTTAAACATAAAATGTTGTCTAAACGAAAAGGCTAGAAATAAAGACAAATTATGAAATAATACATAATTAAACAAGAAAAATTATCGAAAAGATTGTTCATTTGAGAAGATAATAACAAAAAAACAAAAATTATATATATATATATATATATATATATATATATATATATAAGCAAATATATGGATATAGATCCGACAGTATGAAGAAAAAATACAGAAAAAACAAACAAAAATCTTAATATGCAATTATGCTGTATTAATGTTAATATAAAGTCGACGTCGGACGTTTCAGTCTATTTAAGACCATCTTCATGGACATTTTCATTTAAACATAATTAACATTAGAACATATAAAAATTTAACACAAAAAACGATGGACATAAGAGCACAACTAATCCAAACAGATAACTGAAATCTTTATATAAGATCAGCGTTCCGTTTAAATATGATCACGTCGTCGTCACGTGTGCGATGTTGTGAAAACGTATTCGAAGATGATTTCCAAATATTAAAATATTAAAAAAGTCGATTGAACTATTTTATATAAACAGTTTTCCAAAACCAATAACTCATTTTCAATAGCATTTTCGGATACAACAACACATATTTTCGTTGTCCTCTTATTACTAAGAGAAAAAACCAAGAACAACATCTATTCTATACCTGAAGATGTCTGTAGGAACAGACGAAAGCTTGCAGTAAAAAATAACAACTAATACGGCAGAAATTTATATAAACAAGGATCAATTCATTCATAACGGATCTGGAGGTTTTTGTATACTATTTGAATTGTTTGCGATGATGGATGTCTCGCCATTTAAAGCATTAACCTTTGCATTAGTTTTGTGTGAATAATTCATGTATTTGTAAATTGATTGCACGTTTATCGTAATATATATATATATATATATATATATAATTTTTTGTTTCTATTTTGTTTATATATATATATATATATATATATATATATATATATTATCCTAAAAACATTCGCTGATTATGAAGTCATTATTTAACATATAGGAAAATCCTTTATACTGCATGTTGATAGTACTTATACCTAAACAATCAACTGATAAAAAATGGACGATTGTAGAAAAGGCAAAGTTGATGAATTTAACTTTAGCGAAGCAAAAACAGAAAGCAAAAATAAAACAAACGATCTTCAGGTTTGTTGTACAAAAAAAGTACAAATACAGAAAAACCCAGTAAAATTGGGAAAAGTTTAAAGAAATAATAATTAACAATACATATATAACTTCAAATAAATCTAATAATAATTCTTGAAATACATTTATAAGATGAAACTGTAAAGATTATCAGTGATGTTACCTTGTCTTCATTACGAATTTCGCGTATTGCAACATCAGATTCGTTCTGCCAGGTATCTTGATATATTGACAGGTCGCCTCTCCGCATAATTGGCTCCACGGTGTCCTGTTTAAAAAAACAAAAAACATTATTATAACTTTAGGTAGATCTTACTTTTATAATGGCATCGAGATTTTTCATTAGCCAATCAGATTTTGTTTTGCGTGTTGTCTACAGGTAAAATGTCAACGGTTTGTTTTGCGCGCGCTTTCCAACTTTGCCTTTCCTGCACATGCGCAAACGTTATTGTAAGTTTGTTTTATATTTAATTTTTAAAAATAATAATATATATAACAAATGATTGAAATAATAATTAATTGCAAATTACATTAAATTATATTATTTAAAAAAAAAACAAAACATATTTACATTTTTCAATTAAAATTAAAATAAGTAAATTATTTATGGTTCGACAAATATATATGTCATATATATATATATATATATATATATATATATATATATATATATATATATATATATATATGTGTGTGTGTGTGTGTGTGTGTGTGTGTATATATAATAAAAAGAAAGAAACAGCAAGATATATAATCTGGTGTTCTTATAGATATTTTTATTTTTACAAAATAGTGCGCAATGTAAATTTACAGAGCATTAATATTATAAATTAATTGATTTAAAATGTTTTTTTTTGCTACACAGTTCTAACCATGTTTCAAAAATGGATGCTAAAAGCCCCGAATTTAATTTTGTGATTAGATTAAAGACATTAGTTCCATTTCATCCTCAAGCGAGTTTTGGAGTATTTTTTTTTTTTTTTTTTTTGTTACTCCAAAATTCGCTTTAGGATGACATGGAACTAATGTCTTTAATCTAATGCAGATGTCAACTCGGGATTTGAGGTTGTTTTCAGACAATTCATGAGGCACTCATTTTCCAAGTTTAGAAACTTTTCCAAGTTGTTGATGATGACGATGAACAGTTGTATGGTTTGAACTGAGAACCACTGCCAATTCCTCAACTGATAAAGCAGGATTTTATTCAAGGGCTGCTTCAAGAAGCTTTTCATCATACTCAACTGGACGTCCGGTTCGATCTTCATCTTCAAGGGTGAAATCTCCACCTCTAAATTTTGCAAACCATCTTCTGCAAGTTCTTTCATTCACACATTCCTCTCCATAAACTGAGTGAATGTTTCTAGCCGCTTCGGCTGCTGAGTTTCCTTTCTTGAACTCATAAAGCATTATGTGCCTCAAATGATTCTTGGGTACTTCCATGTTAGCAGGGTTTTAATCAAACAAAATTTAATTTTATTGATCTCTAAAATAAAATTTGATCAGTTTAAATGCATCTAAACATAAATATAATGTTCATCTCCATTAGACATTATAAAACACTCTTTAAATTTCGTTGATTTTAGCAAAAAGTTAAAATTCGGACAGAACTTATGGGATGATCTGATATTATTACAAATCTGTCCACACACAACAAAATTACATTTTAAACTAGTCACAACATATTATATTGCACCTAGACATATGTTTCTGCTGTTAATATTTCAGTCTCTCGTTTGGCATGATGTCATATTACCTCATCCTGAATTTACGTATCCGTTATCGTCGCGTAGCAATCTTCTGTGTCAACATAACAGAACGCCATCTTTGAGGGTGAATATCCTTGTTTAAATATCCATATAACTACTCTGAAGTTGGTTAACCTGAACCGAAAGCTTAGATCAAGGAACAGCATAATAAAAAATATGGTTATACAGTGCAAAGATGTATATTAATTGTGCCCGACGAGCTGGTAATCCAGCAAAACGTAGGTACCCTAATATGTACTATAATATATATTATATATATATATATATATATATATATATATATATATATATATACGTTTCTGGTTTAATAAACCTTTTTCAAGACAAAATGGACAAAGTCCGATGGACAATTTATTTATTAAAGACATTTTTATGTTTAACGTATTCTAAAAGTTTGTGATTATTTTATGGATACAAGTATTTAAGAAAGAACTTAAATGCTCTGTTTATAATAAATATATATTAAATATATACATTTGGACCGGTTTGAATGCCTGAGAAATTTTCAGAAAAGGTTCGAACATGTCAAAGGACAAAATATCTTCATTAAAAATAAAATGAAAATATTTCAAGTGTAAATGGATATAAATCTGACAGAATGTAGGACATTCAGGATGTCAAGTGCAGGTAAATGTTAGTTATTATATAAAATAGCGGAAAAAAATGCACTGTTTTTAAAAAATTTAAAAAAAAAAAAGTGATCTGTATAAATTCACCTTTTAACAACGTTGTGATTTAACGTTGTGACCGCACGTTCCAAAATTTTGTGAACCCATATTCGACGAAAAAAAGAACTATCCATTGTGCAAATTTCGGGATAACAAATAACACATTAAAAAAAACAAAAAAATATAAAATATATTTCGATTCGCATTTAATTTTTTCGTCGAAAAAAGTTTGCTAAAAAAAAAAAAAAAAAACATATTTCGATTCGCATTTAATTTACCTGAAAACGAAAAAAAAATAATTTCCATGCCTGAAGATGACTGAATGTACAGTTGAAAGTACTTGCATATTAAAGAAAGACCTTATATAGTTTATAATTTTTAAAAAACAAGCATCATAACATTCATAGAGTGATTTGTAGGTTAATTCACCTTTTAAAATTTTGTTAGCGAAGGGATTTCGTCATTTTATATCATTAACTTTACTAATTTACTTTTTTTATGAATGATTCATTGTAATATATATATATATATATATATATATGTGTGTGTGTGTGTGTGTGTGTGTGTGTGTGTGTGTGTGTGTGTGTGTGTGTGTGTGTGTGTGTGAATCCTTTTCTTCTTCCTCCAGCTATGGGTAAATAGCAGGACAGACTCTGTTCTATAGCCTTGGATAGCAACTGGTCTAGGAGAAGCACAACTCTGAATTCAAAACCTGCGGATGGTCGTTCGGGGACCTTGTGGCATGTAGTGCAGCATGTCTCTGTATTTGGCCCTTCAAAAATGTGGATGGTTCTGCAAAAAAGCTTCACCACTATAATGAAATCTCATGTGTTGGTGTCTCGCTGTCGGTTCCTTGGAACTGAGTTGCTTGACCCCATACGTCGAATACGACGGAAGAGTCGAGTCGAATATATATATATATATATATATATATATATATATATATATATATATATATATCGTTACAATCAAACTTGGAGGTCATAGATTGCTTCGTAGAATAAGCCCTTTCCTTTTATGGAGAGTAAAAAAAGCCAGAATCAGCTAAATTTGTTATCTCTGTTCGATTTTAATCAGTCAAGCTATTATTGATATTTATCCTCATTATACTTTGTTCGATGCGCTTAATCTCTCATTCATTTTTACGCCTCCAGACTTATATACTTATCTTCATTTTTTTTTATCAGGTACTGATTGTCCCCTTGGCGGAGTAGTATTCAGATAAGAGTCTGCAGGTGTCTGGACTCGTCATCAATGATTAATATCTTACTGCTTTCTCGCATGTTCTTTCGAATTTATCTTTTTCTTCGATCTACTGTGATTAAGAAAGAATAGTTTAAATAAAGGTACATGGTTAAAAGTATTGTATTTTTTTATCTTGTGTAATGTGCTTCTAAACTCTGGGGGAAATTGGCAAGCGACAATAATGATTCAGGATGACGTGAGAGATTCTTTTTAAAAAAAAAAGTATACTTATGTAAATCTGCCAATCTAGGGTTGATAAATAGGTGGCTAGAGGCATTATCAAAATTGTCAGATGCGTGTTTCCTTTTTCGTACAGTTGACTTATTAACTGGCTCTGTGTCAAGCTTTTTTGTTGCTACTCTCTCTTGGAGGGGATCTCTCATCTTATTTTATTTTCTGTTTGTATTGTCCCTTCAGAATGTAGGTGATCATAATTCGCCACAGACTTTTATCATTCGGAGCTCCAGGTAATATTTCTATTCTCCTATGCCCTATAATGCCATCGAAGATTGTAAGTGTTATACCGGAACATACCTATTCTATTTGTTAATAGACTCTCCCACAGATAATAAGTAGTAGTAGTAGCAGTCGCCAGGGGGTTCATTGGAGTTGGTGTGAGTTTAATCTGAAGTCAGACGACCAGATGATCGGTTGAACTCTCTGCCTTCGGGCGGGTAGGAAGCCGAACGAGGCTACGCCGAAGAGCGGAGTCTCTTTCGGGGAGGTAAACCGACCCTGAACCCGTTTATACGGGTTCAATGGGCATATTTAAACCGGCCTTGTGCCACATGACGCCCTTGTTGGGGATGGGGGTGACTGAATATCCTCAAGGGAGTTGGTGTGTCAGTCGATGCCGGACATTAAAGTATCAACCACCACAACTAGAGTGCTGCGTCATTAACTATTATTTCAAGTTCCTAACGTTTTGTACGTCGAACCCTTTTTAGGGCCGACTTAGTGAAATACAAGCCTCCACTGTGAAACTACTCTAAAACATTAAGGTAGTTTATTCATTGTTTTCCTCTGCGCCTCTTGCTTTCAATAAGACCTGTGAGAGTCGTATTCCCCAAAACATCTTTCCTTAATATGTGCCTGAGGAATTTCTCTTTCTTTTTTCAGTTTCTAAATATGTGCCCTTCTTCTTTCAATTTTCCTTAAGACTTCCTTGGTTCTCACATGTTCAGACTATGGTATTCTCACTATTCTTCTCTTGAAGCACATTTCTCTTCTTTTAATAACCTTTATTAATACTTTCTTTATCTTTCACAAGCAACGTCTGCCATTCTCGTGGTACTTCGGATTTCGGTGTCACGTTTTCCGTCGTCTGTTAAAATAGTTCATATACTGTATATAATCGCGTATCATGCGACTTTTGGAGACAATTTTGAAGCTGAATGTAGGGGGTCGTATAATACACGAGATCTAAAACTACCGTATGTACGCCTGACCCTGGTTACGCCGTTGACCTATCTATCTATCTATCTATCTATCTATCTATCTATCTATCACAAATTGTTCATGTTTCTTTATTCTATCCATCTATCTATCTATCTATCTATCTATCTATCTATCTATCTATCTATCTATTCATGCATCTTCTCTCGCTCTCTTTCATCCATCCATCCAGTTGATACCTATTACCATCTGGTACTATCAATCTACCTTTTCTCTCTGCAGACACATTTTTAGTCTATGATATTTTATTCATATCTATCTATCTATCTATCTATCTATCTATCTATCTATCTATGTGTATGTCATCTGTTCATCTATCTATCTATCTATCTATCTATCTATCTATCTATCTATCTATCTATCATGCAACTTTGAAAGACCTGTTTTTCTATCTATCTATTTTAGGGGGGCGCTTTCATCACACGAGATATCTAAAATTAATCTATGTACTTTTATGGATATTTTATTCTATCTATCTATCTAACTTGACTATCAAATCAATCTATCTCTCTATCTATCTATCTATCTATCTATCTATCTTTGAAAGATCTATCTATCTATCTATCACAAATTGTTCATGTTTCTTTATTCAATCTATCTCTCTATCTATCTCTATCTCAAATTGTTCATGTTTCTCTCTCTATCTCTCTCTATCTATCTATCTATCTATCTATCTCTCTCGTTCTCTTTTACGGAATCAGTTGATATCTATTGCCATCTGGATGTTGCTATCATTTTGTCTCTGTAGACACCTTTTAACTATGATATTTTAGTCTGTGTATCTATCTATCTATCTATCTATCTATCTATCTATCTTATATACTCGTGTATCATGCAACTTTTTGTTGCTACTGCATCTTAGAGAGGTTTTTCATCTGAGTTTTCTTTTTCTATTTGGCCTGTCTCTTCAGGATATAGACGATCATAATCCTCCACAACTTCTTATCACGTGGAGTTCTAGGTAATATTTCTCGTCTTTCGATCCCTCCTAGTCCCTATGCTGCCATCCCTTTACTTAAGTTCGCTAGGTAGGTTATGCGTTGTTTTTCTTTGTTTCTCTTGCCTTCAATTTGTCCTGTGCGTATCAAATTTTCCAAGCCGTCTTTCCTCTAGATTTCAACTGTTTCTTTCTGATGTTAAGTATAAGCGTTTTTTTCCCATTCTCTTTAAATCTTCATTGTTGCTCACACGTTCAGTCCATGGCATTCCCAGCATCTTACTGTAGAACCTCATTTCTGTTGCTTCAAATTTCTTCTTCATCTGTGAAGAGATCGTCCAGCTATTTACTGCCATATAGGACGACCGATATAGCTTAACAGCTCAATACTCTTTTCTTTGTTACTAACGATATTTTTCTGTATCTTATGTACTTTGCTAAACTTTTGTGAGGCATATTTCGCTAACTCAATGCGCCTTCATATTTCAGTGTCACACTTTCTGTTATATATTAAAACGCTTCTCAGATATCTAAAGTATTGTACTTGTTTAATATTGGTATCTCCAATTTATAATTTGTATGTTTGGCTGTTCTGTTCGCTAATGGCTATACATTATATCTTCTTGCAATTTGTAATCAGTAGTGTATATATTAACCTTCGCTTGACACAAAAACAAGTATGGAGAAGCAAACAGTTTTCGAACTCAATTTGTTATTAACCCTATATAAAATGGCTTCTTTACAACAGCGAATGTTGGACGGTCTCCTCAAAGACGAAGCGGTGATGAAATTTAAATATCTGGGAAGTTTTTTGACAGAAAACGGTATGTGTGACACTGAGATCCGAAGACGTACTGGGATGACCAAAGACGCATTCCAAAAGCTAGGCAGAGTATTACGAGACAGGAGGATTTCTTTAGTAACAAAGAAAAGAGTACTGAGCTGCTACGTGATATCTGTCCTACATTACGTCAGCAAATGTTGGACGGTCTCCAAGAGACTCGAGGCAACGAAGGTATGGTTCTACAGAAGGATGCTAAGGATATTATGGACTGAGCTTGTGAGCAACGAGGAGGTTTTGGTGAGGATGCAAACAAGGAGGAAGTTTATACTTAACATCATGTAGAGGCAGCTGAAATTTCTGGGGCACGTGACGAGAAAGGACGGCTTGGAGAATCTGATACACACTGATCGAATAGAGGGAACGATTGACAACGGAAAGCAACGCGTGAGATATTTGCCGGGCTTAAGCAAGTGGATGACAGAACGTGGTCTGAGGGAGATGGCAGAGGGACGAAACTTATTGAGAGCTACAAGGGATAGAAGGCAGTGGAGAGCCATGACCGCCTATGTCCCGAAGGGGCACGACTCATGAAAAGAAAGACCTTACTGATAATGTTTGGTCATCAGTAGAAGGATGAGCCCGAAATGCGATTTACAGGTCGGTGACTCTAAAATCAACCCAGTGAGGAAATTTAAATATAGAAGATGTGTTTTGACAGAGGACGTTGAGATCCAAAGATGCATTTGGGTAGCCAATGGCGCATTCCAAATGCTAGGCAGAGTATTAAGAGACAGAAGGATTTCTTTAGTAACAAAGAAAAGAGTACTAAACTGCTACGTGATAAATGTCCTCTTCTATAGCAGCGAATATTGTATGGTCTCCTCAAAGATGAAGAACAAACTCGTGCCGGCGGAGGTATGGTTCTACAGAAGGATGCTAAGGATATCATCGACCGAGCGTGTGAGCAACGATGAGGTTTTGGATACGATGCAAAGAAGGAGGAAGCTTATACTTAACATCAGGAAGAGGCAGCTGAAATTTCTGGGACACGTAATGAGAAATGAGAGCTTGGAGAATCTGATACTCACAGGACAAATAGAGAGAAAGAGAGACAAAAGAAAGCAACACGTGACACACCGAGCGGGCTTAAGCAAGTGGATGACAGAACAGGGTCTGGGAGAAGTAGCAAGGGGACAAAACTTATTGAGAGTTACGTGGGATAGAAGGAAGTGGAGAGCCATGATCGCCTACGTCCTGAAAGGACACAGCACATAAAAGAAGAATTTCTGTCTGAGGTCAAAACCTGACAAACACCAGCAGCAGTTGCAACCTCATCAGCGAGCTTAAGTAAGTGCATGGCAGAACAGGGTTTGGAAGAATTAGCAAAAGGACAAAATATATTGAGAACTACAAGGAATACGGTACTTAAAAGAAGAATCCTTGCGCCAATATGAGGAACTTTGAGTTTCTTTGAACGACGTCAGGTTTCAGAAATAAGGTAAATCTGGTTGGATTCACTAGAATAGAATGACTATGTTTAACGTTTACTGAGTTAATTGTATTAAACTCAATTCAGAAATCATTATTTAACATGCATGTAACAATACAGAAAACACAAGTTAAATATATGAAAATTTCAGCTCAGATGTTTTATACTAATTGGTAGTAATAACCTTAAGAAGATAAGCGTTTTGTATACAGATATCGACGCGAAAAATCGAATAGGCTATTTTGTCTTGTTTAATTTCTTAGAAAATTTCCCTTAAGAATGTAATAGATCCTTCTCCTTTTTTTCCAGTTGTGGGTTGAATATCCACAGAACGGGTTTTATAATCTGCTAAGTGTATAGCTATTTGAGTCGCTGCTATACGCATGACAAGTAACATTAGTGGGATTGGTAAACCATTCTCCAATAACTGTGTTAGAGCTAGTAATATTATTTATTAGTTAAAGCAGTTGTTCAACCTCCACTGACATGTTAGGCAAACAGAAAAAAACGGAATGGAGTCAGTTAAACTTAGATTCATTTGTATCGTATATAAATGTAGGTAGAAAAAAAGGCAAATGTCAATAAGTTAGCGAGGGTCACACAGCGCCACCTGGGACACCTACTTAGACTTGTAGTCGGGGTTGGATGTGGCCATTGGTAGTTCGCACCAACCCTAATCCAGCCCACCCTTTGGCACTGTATATTGTTCATTGCCGGGTTTCTGACTCAATTGTCATGCTTATATGGCCCAGGACCGGTGTAACAGGGTATCTTGATCGAAATTTCCGAAGCTTCCATGCAAGCATTTGCAGGTCCAGATTTTAGGATGGTTACCACTGGTGGCCAATCTCCTCAAATACGAAGAAGGAACCTCAAACAGCAGAAATATGGTTCTACAGAAAGATGCTGAGGATGGACCGAAAACCGAGCGTTTACACCCAGGACAAGGACATAAATTTCCCAAGCCCTGTCAGAAGTGCTGACCTCTGTGGCGAGCACCGATCTCCCTCTTCCAGAGGTGGCGGGAGAAGCTGTTCCCCACAATCCGGGCATCTCTCAATATTAGTGATGCCTCTATCTTCCAACAGAGGCACAACTGATTCTCACTCTGCCCGAAATCACAGACGCAACAGAGAAATGATAAACAGTACCCGGCATATTTTTTTCTTTCTTTTTTATTTGTACTGACTTTCATCTTTCATATTCTTGTTTAAAAAACATTGGACATAATGTTTTAGTTAGTTTAATATTTTTTTTTGTTCTTGGTTTATCCAATATGGATTTCAAACGTGTTTACATAATCTTTTTTTATTTAAAAATATATTTTTGTTATTGGTTTATCTAACAGAGATCTCAAACGTATTGACATAACTTTTTCATTTAAGAATATATTTTTGTTCTTGGTTTGTGTATCCTAGATTCTCAAACGTGTTTACATATATTTTTTTTATTTAAAATATATATTTTTATTGCAGGTTTATCTAACCTAGATCTCAAACGTGTTTACATATTTTTTTTATTTGTTTTAAAATATATTTTTGTTATTGGTTTATCTAACAGAGATCTCAAACGTATTTACATAACTTTTTCATTTAAGAATATATTTTTGTTCTTGGTTTGTGTAACCTGGATTCTCAAACGTGTTTACATGATTTTTTATTTAGAAATATATTTTGTTGTTGGTTTATTTAACCGAGATGTCAAATGTGTTTACATATTTTTTTTTAATTTAAAATTATAGTTTTGTTATTGGTTCATCTAACTGAGATCTCAAACGTATTTACATATTGTTTTATTTAAAAATATATTTTGTTGTCGGTTTATCTAACCTAGATCTCAAACGTAATTACATATTTTTAAAAAAATATATTGTTCTTGTTGGTTTATTTAACCTCGATCTCAATCGTATTTACATATTTTTTTTTATTTAAAGATAATTTTTCGTTATTTATTTTTTTAACGGAGAATTTGGCTCACTTGAACGAAGTAGCTTGACACTGAAGGTTACTTTCCTTTTATCGTCGAATAAAATTAATATTTTATTTCTTCCATAACATTCATTATATGTTATAATAATTATTTTTCGAGTCTAATTTTAATAAAATTCTAAATCAGTGTTCTTGTACAATTTTTATATTTTGGCAAGTTTTATTACAATTAAATATAGTCCTTTTTCATGACAGTTTATTCGTATGAAAAGATATCCCATAATACTATGTATTGTGTATTTTTAATGTGTTGTCCCTTCAGGACATATTTTATCATTGGCCTCCACAGATTTCTCTTAAGAATTATTTGTCAATTGCTATGACTTCTTGGGAAATATATTAAACTGCTTTTCTGTTAATCTCACCAATATTAGTATTCATAGTTTTACTTCTTCTACACTAGGTGCAACCAAATACTAGTGATTTCGCTCTACCCTACTTATTAACCCATAGATTGGGGTGAGAGATGGATTCATGCCTTTTTCTAAGAGCATTATAATATTATTTATATAGGTATTTTTAATGCTATGTACGTTCAGCAAATAGCTTTTCAACGATCCATTTTTATAACCTGTGAATATCTATGACTTCTATATTAACTCTGAATGGTCATGTCTTCTTTTTTACCTGTGAATAGCCATCACTTTGTTATTACCTGTGAATG